GGGCATGGTTTCAACGTTTTAGTTCTTTCCTTGTACAGTTTGGTTTTTGTCAAAGTCAGGCTGACACCTCCATGTTTGTTTATCAAGATAATTCCCGTGTTTTGATTTTATTATTGTATGTGGATGATATTATTCTCACCGGTAGTGATTCTTCTCATATTCAGACCTTTATTAGCACCTTGGGAGCGGAATTTGACATCAAAGATTTGGGGCGTTTGCATTATTTTCTTGGGGTGGAGGTTAATTATCACACGGATTCAGTTCATTTTACACAAAACAAATATACAGTTGATCTTCTCAAATGCATCAATCTCTTGAACTGTAAACTTGTTTCCACACCCATGGCTTCGAAAGGTACATTTTCTCGTACTGATGGTACTAAACTTGCCGATCCTACACTTTATCGACACATTGTTGGTGCCCTACAATACCTTACCATGACCCGCCCCGACATCTCATATGCGGTTCAACATGTTGCTCAGTTTATGGGATCTCCCAGTGATGTTCATTTTGAATCTGTTAAGAGGATATTACGTTAACTTAAAGGCACTCTTGGTTTTGGTCTTCCTATTCGTCGTTCTCCTGATTGTTCTTTCCTAATTGCCTATTCCGATGCGGATTGGGCAGGGTGCCCTGATACACGGCAGTCCACATCCGATTACTGCATATTTTTGGGACCCAATCTCATCTCATGGAGTGCCAAGAAACAGTCAACGATTTCTCGTTCCAGTGCCGAAACCGAATATCAAGTCATTGCCTATGCATGCGCTGATACTATATGGATTCAAAATCTTTTAACTGAACTTTGTTGTCCGCTCACTCGTCCCGTGTTACTCAATTGTGACAACTTGTCTACCACGTACTTAGCTGCTAATCCCGTGTTTCATGCTCGCACAAAACACATTGGGATTGATTATCATTTTGTCAGTGAATGAGTCGCTTCTGGCAGTCACAAGGTTCAATTTATCCCGTCCACGTTTTAGCTGCCGATGTCTTCACCAAAGGATTACCAGTTGACCGGTTTTCACGTCTTATTTCCAAACTTGTCACCTCTCCGGAGTCAAGTTTGCGGGGGAGTGTTAGGGGGTTACAGGAGTTAGCATAGTTAAGGGTCTTCAAGGACAATACATTATTGTTTTAGCTGTTATGTTGTTATTAGCATTTATTAGGATATAATTGATTTTCCGTTTCATTGTAACCACTAGGAAGATATCTCATAGTCTGTATATAAATATAGATTGTAATACCTCAAATGATTATTATCGAATATACAGTTTCTACAAACCTTATAAATTTCTGGGAAATCGTCTTCATCGAAGTTTAAATAGGGAACATGTATCCAAAAGTTCTTCCATCGTTTAGACAAAACGGTGGTCCATACAGCATACAGCATATATAGTTGGAACGAACGAAAGTATGTGACAAAGAAGCGCATCCGGCAGTTCACTGATCCTGTCAACTCCTTGACGCTTTGACTTTGATTCCATTTATACTTGATGGTTTTCGGAGAAAAAAAAAAACACGGTAAAGATTGCAATCATTGCTGTAACTTTAGAAGCCAAGAAGCTTTTACCGTCAGTAGAATTTCATACATATTTAACCAAATACATGTACTGTTGACCCCAAAAAAACACATGTACTTAGTACTCTTCAAATTAATAAAAATTAAACTACCTGATAATAGATTCAGAGATGGCCCAGCACGATGATACCTTTGCAGGGAAATAGGAAAACCATTGATTGGTTGCTGAGAAATGGTGGGAAAATGCTAAGAAAATGAGAACATTCCGCAGACTCACTTGAGGGTTTATCTTTTTAGGCTACTCTCCTGATAAACCTGGGCTCTATATTTATGCAAAACTCAGAATCTTAGTAGACTGTAAATAGCACACTCCTTTTCTGTTTGGCAAGTCTAGCGTTCAAAATTAAAAATTACATTTTTATTTTTTTTATCTAATTTTAATTTTTAATACAACAATATTTTTATGTATTGGATAAGAATTAATTCGGAAATATTCAAATTTTGATTTAATTGATTATGCATATGATTTGAAATTGTAATTGATCATGTAGGGATTGATTTGGAAAGATATTTGAATTCCAAAAAAAAAAAATTGATTTAGGGGTGTATTGGAATAGGATTCTGTGAGATTTCAAAGGAGTTTATAAATTCATGTGTATCCAAGTATGATTTTAAATGAGTTTGTTGTCAAGTGGTATTCAATTCAATTTTTTCAGGATTCAACCAGAAGAAAAGAGTGCATTTGTTGTAGTGTATGCTTCCAGAAGAAAAAAGTTAATACGTTGCTTTTTTTTATATTTTATTCTTCTCTTGTTGGGGATCATCATTCGTCATCCATGACTTCTTGAGAATTTATACAAAGCTGTGTGTATGTACCATGTGATGACCTGAGGTCCTAAACCCTAATTCTACTTTCCCACCCTCTTTGAAGTGTTATTGACAAATTTATCCTTTTGTAAAATAACCTCCAAACGCCTAAATCCAATGGCCTAGGCCTAATCCAGTTGAGATGTTTTGTTGGGCAAGGAATTCACTATGCCCACTCTTGTTTTTCTAGGGTTCTATGCAACATTTATTATAAAGGAAAACTAACGAAAAGTCCAAAAAAAACTTCCCTTTTAATGAAAAATCATTTTTAAAAATATAGTGAATAGTACCAGAGAAAGCTATAGATGTGGTTTTTCATTAAAAGTAAACAGTACCAAGCACGATACAAGGGGTTTTGGGAGCTTTCTTTCTCTTTCACTCTTCGTATAGTTTGATTATCAATAACTCTGTTTAAGAGGGTGCATTCATATGGAATTTTGAGGAATTTTGAGGAATTTTAATTCTATGCATCCCATGCAAGTATTGGAGTTCGATTTCTATGCAAAGAGACATCCGCAGTGTTCCTCAATCCAAAATGGACTCGGACTTCGACATGTCGGCGCCTCTGGAGATGAGCAAGGACTGGATCTTCCCTATGAGGTTCAAGGTAATTCACTCTTTTATCCGTTTTCTATGTTTTGAAATTTTGCATGTAATTCAATATCCTAGTGAATAGAGTGTTGCGATTCCACTTATGTATCCTGGGTTCCAAACTCCCCCTCCCCTAAATTTTTATAAAAGTTTTGAAACCTTCCCCCCCTTACCTTTATCTATATAGTAACAGAGAAGCCCTTATATATGGTTAAACATTCAAATAAACCCCAATATGACCTTTGTTTACAAGTAATCAAAAAACAAAAAATACGTATGATGGGGACAATGCCATACAAATGAAAGCCACATGATCGTGATAATCGTGTCTAAATGGAAGAAGCTTTGCGGGATGAGAGATGATAATCGCGAAGGTAGTATCAGTATTAGTATAACAATTTAAAGAAAGGCATCTCGCATGCGCGTGAGTGTGTGAGGGGTATAACAATTTAAAAAAAAAAAAAAAGAATTTTGGAATTGTTTTTGGATATTGGGATTGATTGAAATGACTACGGTTAGTTGTAGATGGATCCGCTGGTAAGGTTAAGGACATCAACCAGACACCGCCTCCTTTGAAGGTCATCGTGGAGAACCTCCGCAGTTCTCCGCAATTCCCCTGGTTATTAGGCAGTGCTCCGCAATTCCACTTGCCATTTGTCCATCGACAAGTCGAGATCAACCAAGTTACAACTACTTCGAGTTCTCCATACCACCTGAGGGTGAAGTTATCAAGTTAGGGTTGTCTAAGCAAAATGAAGGGCGGTTTCATAGTTCCCAGAAAGGTTGGTTGGTTATGGTCAATGAAGAAAACTCTGAAGTATTTCTACTAAACCCTCTTTCCGGAGCCAAACACGAACTTCCTTCCTCGACAAAAAATCCATCTTTCGAAAAATATGGAGATGGAAAAGCCGACCGCTTTCTTGATAAAATTGCACTATCCAGTTCAAATATTTCAGAATGTACGGTGGCAGCAATTTTTTCTTCTATGGAAATTGGCGTGTGCAGGCCGGGAGAAAAAAGTTGGAGCATCACTCCGATATTGGATTATAAAAAGAGTCTCCTTTGAGCCTTCTGTTTTCGTCCTGTGGCACGTTATATATGTCTTGGTCAAAAACTTTTTTCAGAAGTTTAAGAACAAGAAAGTTACGCACTATTTTTCTTGTAATTCTTTTTTCAGAAGTGATTTTCGTACGCTCCATTCATTGACACCTTACAATTTCTTAAAAACATCGCATAATCACAATTTCCCTATGCATAATTCATGCTCTACTGTCGGATCAGATCAACTGAATTTGGAGAGGCAAGGGTGCTACTTATTCTCCAGGTTGAAATTGTATTAGAAGGTTCCGTTATTCCTAATTGCTTTTGATAAATATTCTCCCTTAATACATTTTGAACTTTCACAAATTTGTCCAATTTCTCAATTGAGAACCATATACATACCAACGGCTCGTTTGGAAATGCTTTTAAAATGACTGAAAACGCTTTCTGTCATTTTAAAAGCACTTCAAAATAGATATGGATATTATCGGTGACAGTGGAGACTATTCAATGCTTGTCTTATTCTGACTAGAAAGATTAATTGTTCCAAACTTACCAATTGCTTGAAATATTAAACGACAACTCCTTCCTGTGAGATTATCAGTCACGAGTTCCCTTTGTTGCACCAAGGACGACAGATATTACGAAAGAGAATACAATTAACAGATCATATGATTCGTCTGAGGAAGCTTGGAATTCCACAATCGAAAAACTACGCTGCTCAATAATTTCAAGAATTTATCTACAAATTCATAAATAACATTCATACACAATCTCTAGACGTTAGAATTTTACAGAAGCAAAAATCAAGAACGAAAGCCGTACGAAACTAGGTAAGAGTCATCTTCCATCAACAGAGAAATTTGTTTAACGACAATAGCACGTCCTTGAACCCCCTCTATATCCTAATATCGCACATTCTTTACAAATTCAACTTGACATTTCTTTGAACCCTTTTCAAATGTTGAAAATTTCCTGTACATCTCGTCTTCCGAACACAAAAATTTACCTGTTCTTGAAGAAGTGCGTGTATAAATAGTCATCCTACTTAAAACTTCGCCATTCTTCAACAAATACTTAGCAACTTCCATCTCATCTCGCTGACCCTTGAACTCCCTTATGGAGATGGTCTCAAGATGCGACAACAAACAAAGAGGACGATGTCTGGTGGATTGTAGCCTGAATTCCATCCACGCTCATGTTCCTCCTTATACCATGTGTTGCCCTGCCAATATTTTTAAAAGAACAGAAAAAATAAGAATCGTTAAGAGCCGCATGTTGGAAATCAAGCTGCACAAGAGAAAGTACATCTTACATTATTTTGAAAGACAAAATGTTTCAAAACAGGGCAATTGTTCAGAAATCCTGTTAGAAACTCCCAGTAATTGCAATCACGAAGAATCAGCTCCAGTTGGATTAAATTTTCAAAAGTAGGCAGATACAAAGCCTGCATGAAAGATTATTGATCAATCAAAAGTTGATGCTGAGACAAAATATTACCAAATACATAACAGATTAGTTGAACTCGTAACATTCCAAACTTAAACAGAAAAGCTTCCAGTCACAAGCACAATTAGTGTTTGATATCACTGAAAGAACAATAAGAACAAGAAAGTTTAAGAAAAATCGTAAACAGGTGAAAGCAACCTAAGGCATAGTTACCTTCAAAATGGGAACCGTAACTGAGAGATTTCTAACATTGGAAACTCCTGCTAGCAACTTAGTTGCACGATCAGCAATGTGGCGAGAATTTTCATCTACATGCCTGAAAAGAACTTTTGCTTCGACTAGAGATTTTTCATTCTCCAAATCAATATACGAGAAAAAATCGCCAGCCACAATTGCTAACTTTACAAGATTTGGAGCATTAATAAAAAACCGGACACGATCATCGCCCCAAAAATTACGTTTAAAGTCATTGCCGAACCATATTCTTAACGTCTTCAATCTAGGTGCAGAGATGTTTACATTTGAAACTGCTACTTTTGAATTTACATCTATATTCAAATCTTCAAGTACAGGGCAGCAAGAAAAAAGATTTGCAACTGAATGATCAAGTTTCATTACATAGACATTTAGGACCTTGAGACTCGGGAAACACGCTGATGTAGGAGGAGCAAAGGTAATAGAAGTTGATGATACCTTCAAAATCTCCAGTGTTTTGCACAAGAAGAGGCTTTGAGGCAACTCAAATCTTTTGCAATCGTAATCCAAAAGATCAAGATCAAGTTCAACAACATTGCGCCTAAGAGCAGTGCAGATCCAACGATAAATATGAATGAAGTGCTCCAATGTTGGTCCTCTACAGCATTGCCTATGCCTAGAAAGTTTAAAACTGAATTTTTTGATGTCTGTTGAGTCATGAAGGAAAAGTACACGATCAACAAACATCATAAAACGATTCAATTCAGTCCATGAATGATTGAACCCCTCGTCATCAAATTCAAGTTCGGGAAGAGAAGTCCATAAGTTCTTCCATCTTCTTGACAGAATGGTAGTATGCACAGCATCTAATATCGGAAGGAACGAAAGTATGTGGCAAAGAAGTGCATTTGGCAATTCACTGATCCTGTCAACTCCCTCTTGACGCTTCAATTTCGAATTCATTGGCTTGTACTCTGATGGCTAATAAAAACATTACTGGGATCACTACTGTGTTGTACCTAGCTTTGATAACTTAGCAAGTCTTTCCATGTAAAAATTCAAACAAACTTAAGCAAATGAAATAAATGGTAAAAATTGAGACGTATAATAAAAAATTGGGGAATTTTATAAGAACAAGTATTATATATGCAAATCCTTGGTTATGCAGGAAATCAAAAGAATATCCAATAAAACATCCTTGTGAACAACCCAGTCACCTTCAAACAAATATATAATATATGTGTATATATACATTATATCTATATATATATGTATGTATATAAGCAAACAGACTAAAGAAGTGAAAGGTTTAAGAAGAAGAGTACCTGCTGACAAGAGCTTCTATGATGGCCCTGGAAATGAATGATTTTTTTTTTTAATTGATTGCTGAGAAAATCAAGAGTCTGGACTCAAACTTTGATTTAGAGAGAGAGAGAGAGAGAGAGAGAGAGAGAGAGAGAGAGAGAGAATATTGAGTCGAAAAGTCAATATGTTGTACCTAAAGAACAAAAACCCATCGAAAATCAGAAACCCTTACCTTGATTTTGGGACTTGATTCGCGTCGGAGAAGATGTGCTTACTTCTCTCTGTGTGTGGCTTGCTAGTGGCTGGCCGGATTCGCGTCGGAAAGGATGGACGGAGGAGAGGCGTCAGAGAGGGTGGGTTGCAGTTTGAGTTCGCAGAAGATTCGAGAACGAGAGAGGTTCGATGGTAGAGTAAATTTTTAGAAATTGTCATTAACTTTCAATTGGAATAATAATTTTTTAATTAAAAATTTATTACTATTGGTTTTTTAACTTATCAAAATATGCAGTTATATTAATTAAAAATTTATTACTATAAGTTCCCCCTCAATTTTAACCCAATTGTAGCAGTAGGTCATTCTAACATAATTCATTTTGATACAATTCTGACGAAGTTAACGAAAATGACAATAGCTACACGTTTTGATGAGTTGAGAAACCTCAATTGTAGCAATGTTTCTTCTAACATAACTTATTTTGACAAAATTCTAACAAAGTTGACAAAAATGACCATAACTACACATTTTAATGAGTTGAGAGATCAATGATAATGAATTTTTAATTGATGGACCATTGCTCTAGTTTGATTAAAGTTGATGAACCATTACTACAATTTACTCCGAGAGAAATAGAGACCTAATTTACAATTGATGGTTGAGATTATATCTTAACCAATTCAACGGTCTAAGTAATTTGTAATTATAACTAATATATGTATATATATATATAATATTATAAAATAATATAATATATATATATATATATATATATATATATATATTATTTGGTTCGGTTTGAGATTCCCCGACGGTTTCATAGAGAAGTCCGAATCCTAAATTGAAACTTTCGGGATCGGTTTTTCAAGAACGGTTTGATTTCGGGAATTTTGGTTCAATCAAATTTCGTGACGGATTCGACAATTTTTTCCATCCCTAGCTGTATGTGGGGTTTGCATCCCTACCAAGTATTCTGTCCTTTTGTTTTTTTTCGTCGTAGAAATAGAAAAATACTGAGCTTTGTGTTCTCTCTCTTCTCTCCTCTGTTTCACCTTTTCCTCGACATCATCGCCAACATCTCTAATTTTCTCGCAACCTTGTTTAAATTTTTTATTTTTTTAATTTGTTGTAGAGTGCATGCTATAACTAAAAAAATCTTGTGTTGTAGTAGAATGTGTCAATTCTCACCAAGGTCTAAAATATCGAAAATATCGAAATATCGGTAGTTCAAAAACACGAAAATTTCGATGAAAATATCGGAATATTATCGATATCGATAAAAATTTAATAAAAACCACGGAAATTGTAAGAAAAACTTTGAAATTTTTATTGAAACTTTGCAAGATATTTATTTAGTCAATTATCTATTAGTTTATCACAAAAAATTGGAAGGAAATGCATTGCATGATGGATTTAACTGATTTAAGTTGATTATATAGCGAGCTGGCAAACAATGTGAGTGTAGAAAATATGTAGTAATTAATTAAAGAAGTTTAAACACATCATAATCATTTATATATAATGAATTAGAACAATATTTTACCCTTTATACATTGCATGGTAAGATACATTAGTGACTTAGTACCACATAGAGTTCCTATCAAGGTCTAAAATATCGATGATATCGGAAATATCGATAGTCCAAAAACACGGAAATTTCGATGGAAATATTGGGATAATATCGATATTTTAGACCTTGGTTCTCACTAATCACAAGTACATGATTTAGGCGGCCAATGAGTTACAACGGCAGCCAAGGAGTTTTTTTTTTTTTTTTTTTCATTTTCTAAGCAAACGATATTATCTACATTAAGAGAGTGAATAAATGAGCTTAAGTCTTACAATGGGTTAGCAATAATGTGATTCAAATTCATTTTTTGTAAGAATCGAACTTAAAACCTCTCACTTACAAATGAAAATGAAGAAGAATTTCACAAAACCGTAGTATTAAGTGGCGCCGAGGAGTTATAACATAACAATAACACGTCCTTGAACACCCCCCCCCCCCCTCCGTATCCTAATATCGCCAATTCGCCACCAATTCAACTTGGCAAGTCTAATCCACCGGATATCATGCCTCTTTGTATGCTGTCGCACCTTGAGACCATCTCCGTAAAGGGATTCACCGGTCAGCGGGATGAGATGAAAGTTGCTAAGTATTTGTTGAAGAACGGCCTAGTTTCAAATAACATGACGAGAAATGCTAAGGAGACTATCTCAAACACGCAAGTGCTATAACTAGAATCTTATGTTTGTAGAAAATTGACAAATGATCTCTGCATGCACACATCTTGCTTCACCTGTATCATCAATAGCAAATTCTCCAGCTCTAGCGTAAGAACTCAAAAATCTCATCCACAAGAACACACACACATCAATCATCACGTCGTTTGTCCAAGCCTATACATAAATGTTCGAGAACCGGTATCAAGCCATTGACACACCTACTTTAACGTTTTGATTGGAGTACTGACAAATAGATAGCATCGACAAATCTTAATCGTCAAGACACGGTAGTGAATTAAACAAGTTCAAACAGTATGTGACAACTTATACGCAGATTGATATCCATGTACAGTCTTCCCCGAGTTTGGACTCACGTATAACGTATAAATCGTACAAGCTATAAAACTCCTCCCTGTGGGATTACCGGTCATGACTTCCCTTCGTTGCACCTAGTACAATAGCGACTGTTGCAAGAATAGCCTGAACATAAAGCGGTATTAGAAAAAGGTACTAGAAATAAGACTATTAGACCGGCAATGAGGTAAGTATTTGAAGAATAAAAGAAACTTGGAGGTAGATAAAACATAAGTTGAACAGTGAAAGAAGGACATTGTTACAAAAGTCTTAAGTGAAAGGAAATAAAAGTTACTCACGCCAAGTGTACAAGCGATATATCCTGGTTTCTCTCGGGGGTCTATCCTGGCGCAAAGTAAGATAAATGCACCAACATACCAGGGGACGGTAGCTAGGACGAAACCAATGATAAACCTTCAAAAGAAAGAGCTGAAGTTTAAAAATATTCATTGATGCTATAGAAAGCTTAATAGTTTCAAGATAACAGAAGGAGAGAGCACAAATTATGGAAGATAATAAACTGAACAGATCCTATTGTTTTCTCAAGGAAGCCAGGGAACTGATCTTAGTTTTTTGAAGCAATGAATTGAAAAGGCGATCATAGTCAATAGTATTGAAATGAGGGTAATGTCAACTTAAGCACTATCTTTTTTGGTTCGGCCGCAAATCCCATTTCTCGTGCTACTTGAATTTCTGCAAAACTCAATTCTTTCACACCTTTGCATATGAGAAATGTTTACTTTTACGTCACAATTGTGTCCATCAAATTCAACCTATTCCATTTTTGACAATTGCCAAAATAGAAATGACTATAAAAAGGTTGTACCCAGTGCACAAGGCTCCCGCTTTACGCAGGGTCTGGGAGAGGTGAATGTCGGCTAGCCTTACCCCCATTTATGGAGAGGCTGCTCCCAACAAAATAGAAATGACTATGCACAATAAAATCAAGAGTTTCCCTATTGACGTTGTAGATTTCTTGTCAGCTTTCATGTTCTAAGTTCTATAAGTTTTAGAACACCACGAAGCACGATCAGCATTTGAATTTCTTGAGCAAAGGTTCCAGCACTTAAATATCAACCTACCATGCTAGACTAGTTGAAAATATCAGGGTCAATTTAAGTCCTAAACCCATACATCAGGATTGAAACATTCAGTTTTCATATAATTACAGAACAATGCATAAAGGTAATATTGATCAACTTGTGCAAAGCTATTTAAAATTCAAAGCAGTAAAACTTACAGGCACCAGCCAAGTCCAAAACCACAGCAAGGAAGGCGACGCTCTCTTACTGGTCGTCCTTCAGCAACTGCATAACCTATAAACAACATAGGAATATAATTAGATGTCTAATAAACCGACATCTATTACATCCATTCATCATTCATTAAGATCGGTGGTGGAAATGCACATCCAGCTAAAAATCAAAACAGAAAAGGGAACACAAGCAGCAAACATACAGAATCAAGTCATTCGATTACGAAATTCGCACTCGTAAAACAACAACATTAATTCCCTAATCACACCATTACAGAATTGATCTAATCACTAGCAGGCTAGCAGCAAACGAAAACGGGATTCTTGACATAGCCAATAACTGAGATGTTACTAAAACCATTGTCTTTACTTGTTCTGTTCATACAATCAAAAGGGTTGTTGTTGCAGTGACTGAAAAAGTCAACTAATTCCAACACACAAAGACAAATTGAATTCGATCCAATCTTGTAGCTTCCAATCCCACCGTAAAATACACAAAAATCCCGTTTTTTTTAATCTCATGTTTCACTAATCAAGATCACAAAGTATCATCATCATTCAAATTTAAGTCACCGTGCTACTACAGAAAAAGAGACAGAGGCTCAATTGAATACCAGGAACGGTTTGATATCCATGAGTGTAGTAGTCAGGATGAGGCGCTGAAGGGCCACCGGCTCCCGGCGGCGGCACAGGCTGAGGGAACCCGGTCGGCGGAGGGTGATACGGGGGAGGCGGTGGTGGGTAGTTGGCTACTCCTTGGAACGTCCCGTACTCGGGGGGTGGAGGCGGATAGTGGTGATGAGGATCACTTGAGACTCCCCTCTTCTTTTCGTCTTCGCCCATATTTTCTTGTAATAATTGTTGGTTTTCGAGTTTTTTGTGTTGTGTGATTTGGATTTGGAGTTCGGAGTTTTGGTCGCTGGAAGTTGGAAACTTAGGAGTTAAGACTTTGAGATTGATTGCGAGGTGCGAGCTGTCGGAGCCAGTCAACAAGTCAATTAGATTTATTTTTGTTTTCATGTTGGGCATGAGGTTCAGGATACAATCATTTATCGATAATAAGTTATGTATAAAGATGGGTTAGATAATTTATTTTATTGTGAATTTAAAATCATAATGTTCGGTCTGTTTTATCAATTTTTTATTTTTTGACACAACAAACAATAGATTGGATTTAAATTTATTTTAATTGATCACAATCTATCCCAACTTGTCCACCATGGTTTGATTTATGTCATCCAATGATCAAAGACTTATAAAAGTGTGTGGAAACAACCACGAGCTGGTTGTCTAATGGTAAATGAAGGATTGTGATGCTTCCTTCAAACTAAAAACTAGAGGCATCGGATTCGAAACTCACTGCTGGTGTGGAAGACATACTTGTGGCTAGGGGAGGCTGAAATGTCTCTGTGAGTCTTCTCGACCCTCGAAAATGGTTGATAACCATGGTTTGTTACGAGTTGTCCCTCTTTTTAAGAAATAAAATAAAATAAAAGTGTGTGGAAACCAATTTTTTTTTTTTTAACTTTCTCACCAAAAATAGACAAAAAAGATTACCTTCATTAACCAATAAATTAAAGAATTATTTTAAAGAAAAAACTAATAAAAATAGTTTGAAAACTTTGAGTTTTAACGATAAGAACAAAATAAAAGATAAGTGAATAGTACCATAATTGATTTTTTAGTGTAAAAATATGATTTTTTGTTAAAGTAAACAATAACTAGAGCTTTTCGTTAAAGTTTCCTTATTTTAATTTTTAAGAAAAGGTTATTTTTGAGGAGGCTTGATTTGGGCTTGGATGTTAATAGTTATGCCTTATCCTACTGTGGGCCCTTCGGCTGAAGATTCAATGGGCTTGGGCAGCCTAAATATCCAAAACAAAAGCAAAAAGAAACAAAAAAGTTGTGTTGCACATCGAGGAGCAGACCTCGGCAATCCGAAACTTCTCTTCTCAACGTATTAGGAGCAACGACAAATTACAATTTTTTTTTCAACTTGTTCGAAGCAACCAAGAAGGCGAAAACAAATCGGAAAGATGAAGGTATGAGCCAAAAAACCAAAATAATGGAACAAGTTTTACATGACTTAGCGGGGATTCGAATTGATAATCAAATTTGTTTGTTCAAGACACAGCTTACATAACCTGCCTAAGCCAAGTCAACAATACATGTGCGAAAAAGAGGAACCTTATTACAAAACTTCACTTTATTACACTACTTTTAAACATCCACCAACATAAAAAATCTAGCAGTCAATCAAATATAAAACTATGGATAAAACCGCTTTAAACAAGCAATATATAGATGTTGAGATGATAATTAAAGGAATATATGATCAATTAAAAATGTACACATAGAATTTGAGATTATAAAATATTCAGTTTGAAATAGATTCAGTTATAAAATACACAATGTGCAGTCCTTCAATTGATTTAGAAAAAGAAAGAAAAACTAGAGAGCTAATGCGTGTGAAATTGTGGAAACATCACGTTATCTGTTCCATTATTTTAAGACATGATTTGCATAAAGAAAATGAAAGAAAAATTGTGCAGAGAATTAAACGATCGAAAGGTTGGTCAATTCGTTTATGGTTTGAAGGTCCGTATAGACGCCGCTTGTTAGATTAAGACATGATTGTCCCTACGTGATATGTCGTGAAAGGTGGCAGACTTTATGTTGGAGGTTCCACTCCAAATATTATCCATCTGCCGACAAATGTTGGACTTGGACAAACCTAGCTATCCAATAAGACAACACGGTTTCACATGCATGCAAGCACATACAAATTAGGGTTTAGGATTAAAACATAAGGAAAACTAACGAAAAGTTCAAAACAAATTCTTTTTTAACGAAAAGTTATTTTTAAAGATATAGTGAATAATGTCAGTTAAAGGTAAAAATGTGGTTTTTCATTAAAAGTAAACAGTACCATGAATGTTTTGTTAAAACTCCCTTAAAAATATTGTAGTCTTCGTTCTTGAATGTCGAGGAGGATGAAGAAGTCTAAACCTCGGGCTACCCAAATTTGTCCAATCACATGGAAAGTTTGGCTTAGTAAAACAATCGATCGATACTTAAAAGATTTGTTTTTTCAAGTACTGAATACAAAATCAATATAAAATACTCTCAACACCATCGATTGCGAGATGAGAGAGCCAACTTACTCTGTCAAACTTCACATTTGTAAAAAGCATGCATAAGTATTTATCTCTACATTTATCAATAGTAAACTATATTTTTTTTATGAGAATGTTGAGGAGACTCTCAAAGTGAGGTTTTGTACGGATTTTTTGTTACCTCATAGTTTAATGTTAATTCTCATGTTAATATTATAAATTATTATGTTAAAAACATTAGATGGGAGATGATAGATAGTTTATGAAGATTTTACTTGAGAGTTTCCTGACATTTCTCTTCTTTTGATAGGATGTAATGTTTTAGAAAACATATAAAAGTTATTTATGTGATACATTGTTAGTAAATAATTCATTAAAAGGAGAGATAACAAGTATAATAATCTATCAATAATTTTACTTCATTGTTATCCCAAACAAAATGAAAACTTATTTAGAACGAAATATATTGAACATAAACACTATAACAGAGCTAAATTATTTTATTTCGACAAAAAAAAAACAATCAACTTATTTTACATAAGTTGCTTCAAATACAAAAATTTTCACTACGGATGATACACTACATGTTTTTATATAAGTGGTGAAAAAATGTATTTTTTAAATTATTAACTTTTTAACACACATATTCATATCCTATTATTTATATAGGATCATCCTGTGTTCCAGTCATATTGAAAACCACTTCCAAATACAAGAGACTTGCCGGTTTTTTTATTTCATCTCTCCATTATGATCAACCCAAGTGGTTGCATGTGAGGTTGATACTCCAAGCACGAGGGCCGACTCATCAAAGACTCGGGCCACAACCTGATATTTCTAAATATTTATTTTGACATTTATATTTATTTTTGGTCAAAATTTTGAAATTATATAATATAAATTAGTCCTAAACCGTTGCAATAAATTAATACAACGTCAATTACGTGTTTAGACTTACTTCATAATATAATATACCTGTAATCTAAAACGTTTTGGGTTTGTGTTTTGATTCCAAAAATCATTTTACAAAAATTCACTTAAAATCGATATCTTGTACCTATTATTGCTAAGTTGTATGAAACTGTATCAAAACTCTATCAAAACACAAACCCCGATGAACACGCAATGCGCAATCGGTGAATGGAACGCAACGACGAGTTCATCGGAAAGGAAGCCGTTGGCATGGTCGGCCAGGTGATCGGTACCTTTATCTATTTTTCGTTCAATTTAATGAGCCTTGCTCATTAGAAATTGATGATAGAGCCCAAGCAACAAATTCTGATAATTGAAGGACGGGGGTTGCTGGTGAAATTGGAGCAGCCATGGGCCATGGCGGCTGCTGTGCTCAGTGGTAGCAGACTAAATGTTAGGCTATCTCCAAAGCTAAATATGGTCAGTCTAGAATTACAAGCCTCCAAGAAATTATTTTAAATGTACATTGCCAGCCTATATTTATTGATTAATTTAATTAAACTACCGTTGAATGTTTTCAAACATAGCGGTTGAATTTGAATTAATTATCGTTGCCGATGAGATGTGCTCCAAAAAAGGGCTATGAGGACACTATCAGCCTGATGCCTTTTTGGCCAAATGATGGTCTGTGAGCTCCATAAAATTATAGCCCAAACATTTATTAGAGATGAATTTTTGGACAAATTAGACATTTTTTTAGCTTTTGTACATTTAGGGTGGCCTGGTGGGTTCGATAGAATTATAGCCCAATTATCCATTGGAAATGAATTTTTGACAAGTCAAGTCATTTTCTTGCTTTTGTACGTTTAAGTCCCCACATTGTAGATGGCCTTACGGCTAGGGAAAATGAGATGGTAGGGAGAGAAGTGTGCACGCCCATATTTTTATATTTTATAGAAAATAATTTGTCATTTTATATTATTAAAATTTTAGTTTTATGTGCAAGTGGAGTATATGTGGCAACAATTAATTGGAAGAGGCACAAAAAGGTAGATAACATTCTTAAAAAAAAATATTTAAATCATGCCACTTAATAATACGGTTTAATGGTATTCTTTTTCACTTATAAAGCGAAGTTAAACCACATTATTATGGCAAACTCATTTGTAAGGTTTAGTTCACTATCTCACCCTTAATGTAGACTATCCTTTGTTCAAAAAAATAAAAAATTTAAATAATATATTCGGCTTTGAATCGCATACAATTTGACCAAACAATTTGGCTATACATTGTGCCGCTAGACAAGGGATAACACCTCCTCTGTTGTTTTCCAGAGAGGTATTTGTTGATTTTCTTCTCGAATTTGTAAGACGTTGCTAATTTCTTTTTGAACTTTAATTTAGGGCGATTGCTATTTGAACTCTAATAATTAGCCAATTTTCCTCCAGACAATAGATTTAATAAATTTTCTTCCAATTTTCTATTCATTTTGGTATGACAAATGTTTGAGGACAATAAAGTAATTTCATCCTTGATTTGGACAACATATTGCTTTTTCCTTCTTCTCTTTTCGCTAGTTGACTCTGAATTAGACATGAAAGTTCAATTAGCAACTGCAAAGTATTAGCTTTAGTCGAAATCACCAAAATAAAATTACTCTTTTGCCTTGATATAGTTGCCATGTTTTGTTCACTTGACCAAGATAGATTGAACATTGTATGAAAAATTTCAAAATCTAACATCGGAAATTTGACTATTTATAAAAATTCAAAAAACTAATTAGCTAAAATTAAAGTAGAAATTATGCAAGTTCGGAGCCGCAATAGATGAATAGGTCTTTTACAAATGAAGCGAGATTTTATGGTTTATCCAGTTAAACTTAATAGCGAATTACCGACACGCGTATTTGACGTGTTTCGCAGACGTGGCGAGTGGCGACCAACTGCCATTCAAAAGTACCTTCCGCAGATGTAAGTATATATAACTCTCCACCTCTCCACACTTCGTCGTAATTCGTATTGCTCTATTTTTCTCTACCTTCCCGCCGGTTACTTCAGCTCTACGGTTCCGTTTCAACTTCCCTGGCCACCGAAAACATTCCTCTTTCCTTTTACTTTTTCAATTGGGTATTTTTCTGTGAAGCTTCTGGTTTCATCAGAGTTTTTCCTTGATTACTGGTTTGAAAAGAATCTGGTTTTTTTTAATGTTTTAGTGGGTAGTTCTCAGATCTTCAATAAAATAAATGGTTGGTTGTTGATTTGATTTTGCCCTTCTGGGTTTTTGTTCCTTTTTAATGCTTTTAAGACTGTTCCTTGAGCTTTTAGTTTTAGCGTTGGGTTTGTCCCTTGAAATGTTGACTCTAGATTGGTGATTTTTTTTTGTTGGGGTTTTCTTGGGGAGGGGTTTAGTTGGGTGAGAGAGAGTAAATTTTGAATTTTGAAACAAGAAGAGAGAGAAAAGTTGCTTTTGGCTTTTGAGGTTGAAGAAGAAGGAAGAAGAGGAAGAAGAAGAAGAAGAAGAAGAAGAGATGGATGTAACAGAAGTTACTTTAATACACCATGTGGGGATTGTGTTAATGGTGATCTGGTTTCTCTCTCACTTCAATTGCTGCCACCCAGTTGTCTACTTCATCTCTCTCATTTATCTCTACCTGGTATATATGGAATCACTTCTCTTCCTCATTAATGCTTTAGATTTTTTATTCATTAATTTTTTTGGTTTCTGCGGTTTTAGGAAACTATCAAAGCAAGGAAAGTAAATTATGAGAATTTATTTTTCCTTTATGCGAGGAATTAGAATATGCACAAAGTTTCCTTTTATCATTGTTTCCTTCTGTCAATTATAAGTTATGTGATTTGATAAACGGGTGTGTATTAATTTGGAGGTGCAATTGCAGTACTTAATACGCACTTTTGCTTGTGCTTTCAACAGGTTCATGAGCGGTATGTTATGAGGTTGCAGAAGAAATTACGATTTGAGGAAAGAAAACAGGCTAATCAGAGAAGGGTAACTTTTAGTTTTCCCTTTTGTGTGGTTGATTTCTTTATTTGTAATTCGTACATTGAATAAAAGAGTCTTTGTTGATCTTTATAATTGTTGATAAGTGATCAAAAGAAAGACGACCCGCCATAAGAAAGGTTCTTGTATTTAAAGTCAAACTATATTCTTTTGAGTGTCTATGCTGTGCACTTTTTGTTGGGAAATTTTCTTTGTTACTTATTTGGAAATTAAATTTGTGGTTATATATGTATGGCTGAATTAGTTTGGGAGTGCAGTATCTCATTTCATTTGTTCATTGCCTTTTTGGATCCTTCAGGTACTTTCCGATTCTGAGACAGTACGGTGGTTGAACCATGCAGTTGAAAAGATATGGCCTATATGTATGGAACAAATTGCTTCACAGAAAGTTCTCCTCCCTATCATACCTTGGTTTATGGAGAAGTACAAACCGTGGACTGTTGTATGACTATACCTTCCGATTTATTCATGTTCAATACTCTGGTTTTGATTACTCCAATTGATTTGGGTTTAAGTGCTCTCTCTTTTGAAAAGTCGGATTTTTTTTGGGTAGTATTTTGATAATTTGCTGATGTACTTTACTCTTGGGTTGCAACTTTGAGCCGATCGATTGCTGCAATGCTTACTTCTTTACTTTTGGCATGCAATTCTAGATCTTCTCATTTTAAGTTTGACTGTGAATCATCATATTTAGTTACGAGATCTTTAAAGATTTTTAATTAGATTTTTGACATGTGAACTGGTAGAGAAACTGTTCATTAAACTTGGATGCTATTCAAATGGCTATAACTTGTTTGCTCTATGTCTCCTCATCCATAAGAGAAATCAAATATTTGGGGGGTATAATATGTTAGACTTGGACTATGTTTATAGTATGCATTGAAGGGGATTGTAAACTAATCCCAAATGTTGTTTTGCTTGTAAAATTTTAATAAAACAGAAGAGAGAGTGTATTCAAGTGCAGTGTATTTTGATTACTTTTTAGCGGCTTGTATGTGTGGGAAACTACTTCCAACTATTTCTCTGGTGGTTATGTTTTGATACTATTTGAGTTATTAGTGATGATTTATCATATTTTCAGGGTAAAGCTGTGGTACAGCATCTGTACTTGGGAAGAAACCCACCTATGTTCACAGAGATGAGAGTTCTTCGCCAATCTACTGATGATGACCACTTGGTAAGAGTTAATATTCTCCGGCCCATTGGACCAATATTTTTCTTCTGCACTCTGTGGCTTTCATACTAGAATTCAGCCAAGATGAAGTGAAACATTGTAATAAATGCAGGTTTTGGAGTTGGGGATGAATTTTCTGACAGCTGATGATATGCTTGGAATTCTAGCTGTGAAACTGAGGAAAACACTAGGTTTCGGAATCTGGACGAAGTTGCATATTACAGGCATGCATGTTGAAGGGAAGGTATAGATTTGCCTAACTTGTAATTCAGGATGGGATCTTAAGTCGGTTTAAAGTTTAGGAAGTTTGTAAATTTGTTAAGCATGATAGAAATAGAAGCACATGCAGAATACTTTCATGTGGGGTCTCCATGAGGATTAACTTTGTGACTGATTATTGCAACTTCTGAGTTCTCATTTGCACCACTTTATGTATATCTGTGAATTTAAATACCGCTGGGAACTTTTATTTTTAATGATTGAATTCTGACATGTGGCCTTCTCCGTTTTGCCTAATCTGTTTTGCCTTTTAGAAATAGCATTCGAGCTTTAGGGCTAATGTATTATCTCAGCCAGAAAAGCTTATGATTTATGTTAGATGTTCCATGTTATCTTATTGATTTGGTGAAGTAATGTCAACACTGGCATGTGATAAGGCTGTGATTTTCTTTCTCTTGTGTAGGTCCTGATTGGGGTGAAGTTCCTTCGAAAGTGGCCTTTCCTAGGCCGTGTGCGGTTATGCTTCGTTGAGCCTCCATATTTCCAAATGATCGTCAAGCCTATTTTCACCCGCGGGCTTGATGTTACAGAAGTCCCTGGGATTGATGGATGGCTGGTAAGTTTTTATGATATTTTATAAAGATAAATTCTTAAATCTCCCCTTTCATGGGTCACTCACTTTGTCTTTGTGTTTACTAATCTCTGATTTTCTCCTTCATTGATTCCGTCTCCCAGGATAAGCTTCTCGCTGTTGCCTTTGAGCAGACACTTGTTCAGGTAAACTATTTGGATTTGACATACCATATATATAATTCTTTGCCATCCGTTGGCTCTGTTGAATGCAAAGACTTCAGTTCAGATATCTCCTTGCAAGTTCTAATGAAGCCCTTTCTCATTAAGCTGAAAAGCCTCTGGCCTAAGATTTCCATTTGTTGTAAATTTCCAATTTCAGAAAAATATCTTGATAGTTCTCTCCATCTGTAGGTGTTTCATACCTTCCAAATAAAATTTAAAGTTGATTAAAATTCCACGTGATTTAGTTAAAAAAAAAAAAAAAACCTTGTTCAAATGACAAATCATGGGACTTTTCGATGTTATGTTTCATATGGCAGCAAGACGATTCCGAAAATGTTACTAATTATCTTTATCTCTTTGCAGCCTAATATGCTAGTTGTTGACATGGAGAAATTTACTTCACCGGAACAGGGTAAGGACCACGTAAATACATTTTCAGTACTTCTGTCGATTAGCAGGATCTTCCTTTGGGAAGTATATAACTTATGTTAATCAAAGTTCATGTGGTGTGGATGCATTTATTGCTAGATTCTCTTGCATTCAGTCCCCATGTGATATAAGTTCCTCTCACTCATTCACTCTCTAAAATGTTTCAATTACTGTGTTCATGTGAATGACAGAAAGTTGGTTCACTGTGGATGAGAAGGATCCTGTTGCTTTTGTGAGAATAGAAGTTATCGAAGCATCTGACATGAAAGCCTCCGATCTTAATGGTTAGTTATTTGTTTGCCAGTACAACAAGATTTTTTAACTAACACAAGAACGAGGTTATTTTTTGTATTTAATACAGATCTATGTTTTCAGGATTCGCTGACCCTTATGTGAAGGGTCGTTTGGGTGTTTACCAATTCAAAACTAAGATACAAAAGAAAACGCTGACTCCAAAATGGCACGAGGAATTTAAGATCCCCATTATCACATGGGATTCACCAAATGTGCTAGCTATTGAAGTTAATGACAAGGACATATTTGTTGATGATACCCTTGGGTTTGTTTCTGAACTTCCTTAATATATTATGTTCCGTACCGTGCCTAAGTCTCTGCAAATAATATTGCTATAGTATGTCTATTACATTTGGAGGATTACCGACTTAAGAGATCAATGATCTCAAGCACAAATTAAATGACTCTGGAAGCTATTTACCTCCTTGTGTTTTGGTTTTGTTTTAAGTTGTTCTGTAGGTGCTGTTTTATCTGTACGATTAACTGACACTTCTTCTATATCCAGAGATTGTTCCATTAACATCAGCAATCTTAGGGATGGCGGGAGGCATGACATGTGGTTGCCTCTTCAGAACATTAAAACGGCTGGGAGGCTGCATGTTGCAGTAACCGTACTAGACGAAAATGAGAAGGTAAATTTTTCCTTTTCAACTAGTTCTACTGATAATGTCCATTAGGAAATTAAAGTTGTTTATACCATATTTAGGGGAGGAGCCCTTATTCTATAAAAGGGCCTTCTCACCCTCACAAACCCTAGGCCTCTCCTATCTAGAGCAAAGCTCTCACACTCTCTCCCTCACAAATACTCTCAGAGAAATACAATCAGTGTGGACGTAGCCCAAACCTTGGGGTGAACCACAATACATCTTGTGTTATTTACATTTCTTGCAGATTCACAGTCGGATTTACATTGTAGTTGCAGCATAAATTAGAATGCATTGCTTCCATAAGAATGCTCAAGTGTGCATGCTCCTTCGAAAAAGTACCTTCACAATTTGAGGATCTCAATGAATCCTCTAATTGTTTTAGTTTCTGTTTTCCCTTGTTCCTCCCATGTATATTCTCACAATTGAAACAAATTTGAAGGCTCAATTCTCTAGGACATCTAGGTGATAAAGTTTTTTCAGGAACAGAAAAATCTTCAAAGGTTTGACTTGAGCCACTTTCTTACACAGGGAGATGACAGTCCAGATTTTCAGGAAAAGCCAGATGTGGAAGAACAAAGAAATTCCTTTGTCAGTGACACTGGTAATAAAGGTTCCTTCTCATCTGTATCGTTGGGGAAATCTCCTAAGGTAGCAGATCATTTTGAGCCCATTGATGTTGATGGGCAGAAAGATACCGGTATATGGGTCCATCACCCAGGAAGCGAAGTTTCCCAAACTTGGGAGGCTAGAAAAGGAAAGGTTCGACGACTTAATACCCAAGTTCAAAGGGAGCCTAATGGTAGTGGCATTGGATCCCAAGTTAATGATAGCAGCAGCACTGATGAGAATCCTGAAGATAAACATCGAATGACCTCAGTTCGCAGGGGTCTGCATATGATCAGTTCGGTGTTCCATAGGAATTCCAAGAAGGAGGATAATTCATGCAGCTTTAAAGAGCCAGTCGAAACCCCACGTGTGAATCTAAGGGCAGTTAATGAAAAGGATATTGGTGCGAGTAATGAAAAAGATATTGGTGTGCAACTTGTTATGGATGAAGGCCTTTGTAGCCCTCTTTCTGGCAAGGCAAATTCAAAGGGTGGGGCGTCAAGTTCTGGAGAGAGTGGTTCGGATAGCCCAGGAAAGGGCAAGATGAAAGACATGGCAAAGAATCTCTACAAAAATGCTGAGAGGTCGGTAAAGCATGCACTTTCACGGAAAGGTTCTAGAAAGTCTCAAGCTGATTCCCGCACAGCGAGTGAAAGAGAAATTTTAGCAGATTCTATCTCTTCTGATGATGATTCTCTTCCGTCCCCATTTGTTGAAACGATACCGGTTGCCTCCAAGCCTATACCTCGCAGCTCCGATATTGATTCAGGTATAACGGAGAAGCCCGTGGTTCAGCCGGTAATTGACACTGCAGTGGATGCTGAAGTCCCAGCAAATAGGGTTGAACTTGGAGAACTCGAAAAGTGATGAGGAGCTGAACAGCCCTGGAAGAAGTAGCGATGAAGAATCTTTTTTTTTGGAAGCCGGATGAAGAATCTTTTTTTTGGGCCTCTTCTTTTTGTAAATAATAAATATGTTGCATATATGTAAAGTTGTTTTGAGAAAGGTTTTGTTATTTGAACTTTTGTTTAATACGCTGGTACAAATTTGTTTAGTTATAGAGAGGCCATGGGCTGCTTAGGAGCCCAAGTCCAAGCTCACTATTTTGTCCGAGCCGAAACAATGACAGCACGACACGTATATAGCATGGCTAAAACAATGACAGCACGACACATATATAGCATGGCTAAAACAATGACAGCACGACACGTGGATAGGTAAACCCCAACATGACCCATTGCGACCCTATACATTGGTACAAAGTTGTAATATTTATATTGATTGAATTATTCATCTATACTCCACGGAAATATGAAGAAAAAACAAAAAGGTAATTAAAATAACGAACTCCGTCTTCTAATCTTGAAGAGCAGATATTTTTTCTAATGTATGATTGCAAACATATCAATTTTGATGAAAACACAGCACAATACCAGTAAGAAGAACAATCAAATGACAGCCGGATTCAGGGATGCATATGCAAGGAACTCCTTATTACTTCCGATCATGGCCATGTCGTCTTCTTTTAAAGTCAAGGTGGCTTCTATGCCACCGCCATCATTCGTGTCCATCAATGCAATCATGTTCTTGAATTCGATGGTGCGAATGCTCACCCATGCCGGCTTTCCCCACCCGAAATTGGCTTTGTAGAAGGGAAGCCGGCACCAACTGCTAAAAGCATAGGTTTCTACATCATGTCTTCCCAGATTGCCGGACTCTTTGATGGTTTGCATTACCACATCACCACTAACCCCATTAGGGTGCTCTTCTTTATATACTTCGATGCCTTTTCGGAGTTTCACAACCAAGTTTTTGTAGTCTAATTCACTCTCTAAGTTCATTGCCGTGAAGCACCACACAAGATTCCCCATTAGATTTTCTGCCTGCCCTGATAATCCTTTCCTTATGTTCACCGCTTGACACAAAACTGATGGCCTTATAGAACCCAAATTCCATCTTGAAGCTTCCATTGCGCATTTCCAAATGAGGGCCGACACTGCTTCAACACGCGTTGGTTTTGGCACTGTTGCACTGGCAGCTTTGGTCTTGAGAGCAGCAATGTTTGAGGCGTCAAACACGTATCTCCGTGTTACACACTTGTCTTTAGGAAGGTGCACGGTAGGTTTTGGTGAGTTGAAGAAATCTTGTGGTGGGAATAGAGAAGCTGCAACGCTGAATTCTGCAGGATGCACGTCATGATCACGACTAATGGCTGAGCCGAGGGAAATTTCCGTCCAGTGCCTTATGAATGCGCTGAATGTTGAAGCATCGGCGACCTTATGACAAATTCTGACCCCAATTGCCAATCCACCGCATTCAAACAAGCTGGCCTGAACTAGTAGAAGATAGCCTGCTTCTGATTGATTGGATCCTATAGCAGTTGGGAGCAATTGATCTAGGATCGAAAATTCAGGTTTGTCCAAAATCTTCGATATGGGACAGTTAACTTGGGCCTCAAGAAATGCAGCTCCATGATCGTTGCAGCTGATCGAAACATTGTATTCGAATTTTCCCGCAAAGGGATAGAAGCGAGTGAGGGCTTCCGATAATGATTTCTTTAGAAGCTTGAGCTTTTCAGCAAACAGACAATGGCGATTGTTATTGACTTCATCGCCACTGCGACGATAGAAGAGAATTACTGGGATATAAATTTCAGGTTGAAACTGATCAAAAACAGATAGGCCCAAATTTCTGAGGTGGTGAGGAGTTGGAGAGGAGGGTTTAATTATTTCCTTGTGAACGACTTCAACCTTCATCTCTGAAGCCATCTTTTGTTCCACACTTTGAGTTACGATCGATCTTTTTATTATGTTTTTAGAGAAGCATTTAGCGTTTCGGATCAATCTGTATGTTTTGGATTTATCCAAGGAACATTTAGTGTTTGGCCTCAATTTGAAGGGCTGGCCACGCATGAAGACAGCAGATATGCTGTCATTTTTCCTTTCTGTTTTGTCTTCACTCCCTTCCCTAAGATTCGCTACCAAGTCTTTACGTCTATATAACGTTCAGCCAAAGCCAAAACCCTACCAACATTTTGGTATATCTTTTATTGTCCCAAGTTTAAAATGTAAGTTCTGTTTATCGTAGTTTAATCAACATATTAGTTAAGGTATATTGACTCACTGTGGAATGAACTGGGCTCTAGGGGAGCCCGATAGACAACCTAGGCATGAATTGCCTAGCCTACCGACTAGTGGATCTGACGTCAGGCTGACTTCAACTCTCTTTTATACTTTTTGGCCAAGCGCATGTGTTAGACTCGGGAGAATGGCGAGTGGCTGGACAAGAAAATAGGGCTGGGGCTGCCGGGAAAGCGCACTTTGTTGGGGGCTGATGTGGCGCTTTCTGGTCCGTTGGATTTTCCAATCAACAGTCCATATTTTTTAGCAAAAAAAAATTAAAAAGGAAAAAATAAGACAAAATCCAATTGTTATCGTTGACTTACGTGTCAAAATCTTGACTGTTGGACTACAATTTTTTTTTTTAATCTAACTGTCCATATAAATTAGGTTCATAAAAATTAAAAATACATACAAACATAAAAAAGATTTTTTTTTTTAATAAATACCTAACCATGCTTTTGGGTAGTGACACATGTAGTGACGAAATTGGTTAAAATCGTATCCGAAATTAATAATAAAATTATCTTTTATTATTTTATTAAAAAAAAACAATAATATTTTCATACCAATAGTCTGGACAATTTAGTTTAGGGTGGACATGCACTTGGGCAGTTATTGTTCATTGAAGACAGTAATTGCCTAACTCAATTACCTGGGCAGTAATTGCCTAACTCAATTACCTGGGCAGTAATTGCTTGGGCAATTTGGTAGGGGGAAGTGCTCTTAGTTACTTTAAATTGCTTGATGGGGCTGTGGAATGAAAATCCGGTGGAGGATGCCGATTGAGTTTTAGTTAGGTTAAACTGCTTAATGGGTTGGGGAATGGGGAATAAAATCCAATGCATGATGATGATCGAGTTTTTTTAGTTATTTACAAGATGGAGAGTTTCGAACCTGAGAAGTATGAGTAGAAATTCAACACCCTATCTACTAGGATATATGAGGTCATAACAAACCACATGCATCTTCACCTAAATGGAATAAAAAACCTAATTAGATATACAAAACGAAACAAAAGCCTCACATTGGTAGAAATGTCATATCCATTTCTCTGTGTTTTGCGGATCTGAGGTAAAATAACCCAAAGCCCAAACAGAAATCAAACAAATATAGCTAACATTAAATAGACGAAAAAAATTGGAAAGAAAGACCTCCCCATTTGTCTAGCTCTAGAGTTGGGTTAGGGTTAGGTTCATGAGAAATTGATTCATAGGCCAAGTCACATGGTGTAACATTAATTCTATGTGTTACATATAATTAGAAAGTAATTTTGTCTACAAGTTTAGTCTATTTAACATTATCATTTAATTAATAGAGAAATTATTAATCAAAAATAAATTACATCATGATTTTAGTGAAATAACAAAACAAAAAGCCCAAAAAAAATTAGTGAAATAAAAACGTCATGTGGTGTGTTCCAAGTACATTCGTTTCATCCGGTGCTAGTTTGGTTATGAAATCAAATCTAAGTGCAAACCTACAAACTCTACATGCGTACTGTCTTTTGGCATCCTCTAACAATGACATATACTGTCTTAGCACTAAGAATGAACGCCATGAGTTAAAAGAGGAAGATCTTAATCACCAAAGCAATCCACGACTGAATTTTAACTTAATTAAAGCTGACCCTGAAATAAAAATTCGTAAATATTGGTCGCTGAACTTGATTTCATGATAATGTAGAGCAATAATCCATTTAGTAATAACTCTATTAGAACTTTTACCCAAAATATTTCTAGTCAGATACAAAAACTCCAATTAAGCCAAAATTCAGAATTATTGCTGCATTTTTTTTGTTTTAAATATATACGAGCATATATACGTATTTGTGTCAATTAGTACAGTGACACGCGTACTTGGTTTGTCTTATACACGTGGCGCCTAAAAACCAGTTTAAAAGTGGCAACTGCTCATTTCTCTCTGAAAACGCGAACTTCGCCATTATTTCTCTCTGATCATGTTCTCTGTCTTGGCCGTTACCTTCACTCTCTCTCTGCGTTTCTTCCCGCCGGTTACTTTAACGGAGAACCGTACAACACCGTTTCAGGCGTTGCCATATCTAGTCACAGCCTGAAAGGCAACAATACACAATTAATCATCCTTAATGGTCTCTCTCTCTCCCTCCCTCTCTCTCTCTCTCTCCCAATTTTTGTTCTTGTAAAATATAACTCATAATTCAATTTCCTTTTCAGGGTTTTGTTTCATTCATGGCTTTTGATGATTTCTTGAGTTCAAGTTTCCATCTTGGGATTTTCCCTTTTCCAAATTCTCTCATATTTTGACTGAATTTTTTGATTTTAATTTCTTTAATTTTATACAGCGTGAATTAGAAAACCCAGAAAAATTACAAAAGAGGAAGTGAGAGGAAGTTGCAAAGTTGTGTGTGTGTGTGTGTGTGTGTGTGTGTAGAAGTTGCAAAGTTGGTGCCTTTTTTGGGGTTGAAGAAGAAGAAGAAGAAGAAGAAGAAGGAGAAATGGATATAACAGAGGTGTCAATAATTCACCATGTGGGGATTGTGTTATGTATGCTGTGGTTGCTCTCCCACTACAATTACTGCCACCCAGTTGCCTACTTTTTATCTCTCATTTATCTTTACCTGGTAAGAATTTTACCATTCACTTATGCCTTTACATTTTGTTTTCGTTCCTCTTTCATATATATACATTTGAAACTTGTAGCGTTAGGGTCTTTCGCCTTCGATACGTTGTATCAGTGTTATGTAATGATTATTTACCTCTCCCAGACCCTGCGTAAAGCGGGAGCCTTGTGCACTGGTTACGACCTTTTTTTAAAGGAAACATGTTATGTAATTTAATTTGGTAAGGCATGTGCTAAAAGGGATGTGATTGAAGTGAACTTTTCTTGTACTTGTGAAAGGTTCATGATAGGTACATTACGAGATTGCGGAAGAAATTACAGTTCGAGGAAAGAAAACAGGCTAATCAGAGACGGGTAGTTTCTTACTTTTCCCATTCTGCATTTTCAGTTGTTATTAGTTGCTTTATTGGTTAAATATTATGCCTTACGACATGTTCAACAAACCGATGAAAAAAGAGAAAAAAATCCACCCCAAGAAATGTTGTTGGAAATGGAGCAAAAATTTAAACCTTAATGTTCAGATGACACTACTATACTTCATTAGAGTTTTATTTCCTTTTTCGAATACTTCAGGTGCTTTCTGATTCTGAGACGGTGCTGTGGTTGAACCACACAATTGAAAAGATATGGCCTATATGTATGGAACAGATTGCTTCACAGAAGATCCTTATCCCCATCATACCTTGGTTTCTGGAGAAGTACAAGCCATGGACTGCCGTAAGACTAACTTCTGATCTATTAAAATCAAATACAATGAAATCGTGCTATTGATTTGGATTGATCACTTGGTTCTAATTGCTCTCTTATTAAGACTCTTGGATTTCTTGTTGTAGTTTGATGTATGTCTGTGTTGGTATTTCTGGTATGGTTACTTTATTTATTATCATATACCTGTTCTGATTGAACGAGATTGTTGAGTGATCGACAACTCTCAAAGGATGTAACGCTTTGTTGGCTCTTAACTTTGTGTTCTTTAGAGAGTATATTTTCATTTATTAATGCTATCGAAGTGGCAACAACTGTTTTCGTTGCATCCACATCTTACACAACTATGTTATTGTTTTTCATTTTCTTATTGAAGGGCATCCTATATCATAAAGTGAATTATGTGATGTCCAATATTTCAATCTTTTGCAGGTATAGTTTTTGTGAAACATGTATTTTTTTTTCTTTCTGAATTCGATAGTGTCATCTTGTTATCTGGTGGTTATATATTGATACCTTTTTCAGTTATTGACGATGATCTGAATATGTTTACAGAAGCAAGCAGTAGTTCAGCACCTTTACTTGGGAAGAAATGCACCTATACTCACAGATATGAGAGTGGTTCGCCAGTCTACTGATGATGATCACCTGGTATTGTTTACATTCTCTGGAATGTTCAATCAATACTTTTCATGCACTCTTCGTCGCTGCAGGTCCCAAATTCAGATACTAAATTGTAACTTGATGCAGGTTCTGGAGTTGGGATTGAATTTTCTTACAGCTGATGATATGATCGCAATACTTGCTGTGAAGTTAAGGAAAAGACTAGGTTTTGGGATGTGGGCAAAGTTGAATATTACAGGCATGCATGTTGAAGGAAAGGTACGTACTTGAATAACTGTTAACTGTAGGTCTAGATGGGACTACTTATAAGCTAGTCATGTACGATATTTGTTCATAGACATCTGAAAATTTAAAATTGATGAACAATTTTCCATCTTATGTTGCATTGTAGCTCCTGTTATTTATGCTAGGTACTCTATATCACCTTGTTGAGTTGGTTCAGCTAGTGTAACATAAGAGTAACTGTAAGCTATTTTCATACTTTATTTACATGGGAAATAGGATGTCCACAATGGCTTGTACAAACTACTTATACGTTCTGATCAAGCTGGATTTTTCTTTTGAAGGTCTTGATTGGAGTGAAGTTTCTTCGCAGGTGGCCATTTCTTGGCCGCGTGCGGCTATGCTTCGTTGACCCTCCATATTTTCAGATGACTGTTAAACCTATTTTCACTCATGGACTTGACGTTACAGTACTCCCTGGGATTGCTGGATGGCTGGTAACTTTTATCATATTGAAGCAAAATAAATTCTTAACTCTCTCCATTTCTCGCTCTCCGTCTATGTATCTTTCTCTCTGACTTGCTCTTTGTGATTTTGTCTGCCAGGAGAAGCTTCTGTCAATTGCCTTTGAGCAGACACTTGTTGAGGTATGGATTTTGGACTCCTCCGTAAACAACCTTTACATCTTGCCCCATTGGAATGAAAATTAGACCTTTAAATCAAATTATTACTTATTTTTGCAGCCTAATATGCTGGTTGTTGACATGGAGAAATTTGTTTCCCCAAAGCAAGGTAATTATATACAAACGCATACACACACTCGCACACTTAAATGTGCAAACAGATATGTACGTATTTTGATAAATACCGCATATATCTTTCCATATATTAGGTTTTCATGAAAAAAAAAAAAAAAACTTTAACTTGTATTAACTTGGTGCGATGGCAAGTGCCTTCGCCCATGAGCGGTAGGTCTCGGGTTCGAGACTTGGGAGCAGCCTCTCCATAAATGGGGGTAAGGCTAGCCGACATTCACCTCTCCCAGACCCTGCGTAAAGCGGGAGCCTTGTGCACTGGGTACGACCTTTAGTAGATTTGTCACTCTAAAGTAGTTAGTTTACATTAGAAAACATAAGTTTATCTTCCCTTTTCCCCTTACAGCAGGTTAAATACCACATCGGTAATAATTTCGGCAGTGGTCATGCCTTATTAGTTGGTTGCTTTTGAAATTTAATATTGTATAAGCTTCTGTTAAGGAGAAAGTGCACTAATTATGGAAAAGTAAAGATCTTTGGAAAGCTGTAAAACAGTGTCATGAATGCTTCGTTCTTCATTAGCGTTGTTGTGAACGTTTTTTTTTCTCGCTCTCACACAGAGACACTCAAAATGTATTTTTAAAATGTTTCGGTTGATAGTAGATGCTCATTTGATTGACAGAAAGTTGGTTCTCTGTGAATGAGAAGGAGCCTCTTGCTCTTGCCAAAGTAGAAGTTATTGAAGCATCTGACGTGAAAGCCGCCGATTTAAATGGTCAGTCTCTCTTTGCTAGTACATTGGTGTTAAGTTTCCACAGCATGTTTTAAATTTATATTTAACGGATAGAACCTTTCTTTCAGGATTTTCTGACCCTTATGTTAAGGGTCAATTGGGCCTTTACCGGTTCAAGACTAAGATACAAAAGAAAACACTGTCTCCAAATGGCATGAGGAGTTCAAGATCCCCATTATTACATGGGATTCACCTAATGTGCTTGCTATTGAACTTTGTGACAAGGACCGATTCGTTGATGATGCCCTTGGGTGTGTTTATGAACTTTTTAGTGTAATATGTCCCTCTGTGCCTAGATTTATTCAAATTCGTTACAGAAATATGCTTACAGCTTATTTCGAGTATCGTTTATCAACTTTTATGCCCTTAGTTTCAATTAAATTGTTTTATATGTGCTGTCTTACATGCTGGACTAACTTACTCTCATTCTATATCTCCAGTGACTGCTCGATTAACATTGGTGATCTTAGAGACGGCCAGAGACATGACATGTGGGTGCCTCTTCAGAATATTAAAACCGGGAGGCTGCATCTTGCAATAACTGTTCTTGAAGACAATGTGAAGGTACCTTTTTACTTCATCTCAACCGCATTCTATCGATCAGGTCTATTATGAGTTGAAAATAAAGAGATTAGAGATTTGTAGTTATAGTTGCTGCATATGTGCAAGTCTTACCAAAGATGCTCAAGTGTGCATTCAAGAGTTTGATTTGAGCCACTTGCATATGCAGGGACCCGAGCAGTCAGAAGTTCAGGAAACGGTAGATTTGGAAGATAAAAGAAATTCATTTGCCAGTGATGCTAATCAAAGTTCCTTCTCATCTATATCATCCGAGAAGTCTAACAGGTTGGCAGATAACTTTGAGCCGATTGACGTTGAAGGGCAAAAAGAGACTGGTATATGGGTCCATCATCCAGGAAGTAAAGTTTTACAAACTTGGGAAAGTAGAAAAGGAAGGAGCCGACTCCTTGATACCGAGATTCTAAATGATACTAACAGCCGTAATTCAGTCACATCTGGCTCCCAAAACAATGACGATGGAGGCACGGATAAAAATCCTGACGAGAAACGGCACATGAAAGGAGTTCGCAAGGGACTAAATAAGTTATGTTCGATGCTCCACAGGAGTTCCAAGAAGGAGCCGAGTACAAGCAGCTTTAAAGAGACCGCTCGTTCTCAAAGTATTAATCTTAGAGGAGTTCATGACAATGAAAGTGGGGTGAAATTCATTGTGGAAGATGACCTTTCTAGGCCTCTTTCTTGTAAGGTTCGGGAAGAAAAGGATTTCTGCAGGAGGGAGTGGTTCAGGTACCCCGGGAAAGGGCAAGTTGAGAGAGATGAAAAGTTTCTTCAAGCGTAATGAAAAATCTGATCGAAAAGATTTTGCAAAGTCTCAAAGTGATTCTTCGGTAGTGAAAGAAAGAGAAATGTTAGAATATTACAACTCTTCTGATGATGATCCTCTGCCCAAATAGTTGATATGTTAGCAGTTATGGTTGCAAGCGACACCGCAGTTGATGCTGAAGGTCCAACGATGAAGGCTGGATTTAAATCTTTCTTATATTAACAGTCCCTCGTGGCTCCGGAAGTAGGGTTCTTTACATTCTCATCCTTATTTAGCTCTCTCATGGCGGACTTGCTAACTCTGCAGTCGACAAGGTAGTGTCACAAGCTGTGAGGGGTTCCCTTTTGCGTTCGCAGGTAAGCCATGCTAGGTTGATTCTGTTCTTATATATTGCCAATGCTTTGTTGGTTTATTTTCAATCATTTCCGGAGAAGAGGGGAAAACAGTAATCAAGGTGAAAAGAGGAAAAGGTAAAATAGCCGGTAGCAATGGGGTGGATTAGAGAACTGTTTTTCCATCACCGGATTCTCTTTTGGCAGTGCCATGATAGAGGGTGCTTGTTTGTTTGACTCGTTTGTTTTTGTTTTCTGTAAACACTAGCATATTACATCGATATTCATGGTCGAAACCAATTTGTATGTAGTTCCATTTGTGAGATGGTGGTTCGATCGTGGAACCAACGTCTTTTTGTGTAGTTATAAGTTCTTGATTGCAATTACCGTCTTACAAGTTTGGGGACGATGAAAATTACTTGCCCCTTTTCACCATAAGGAACCCTTCGGGTTAGCAGCGTATTGTAGCACATTCAGTGGTGTAAACCACAAAAGCATACAGAAGGGGGACATATTTGTATAGGGTTTAGGCAATAAAATTACAACTTTGAAAACCGCAATAACTGAAGTTGATTAAACAAGTTCGACTTCCATAATTCCATGGATCCAACATTATCCTCATTCCGGTCGCCGTCAGTCTGTTAGGTATTTCCTTGCACAGCTTCAGCAGAAACCTTCAGCAGGATGCCGGAGTGTCGACGGTCCGTGATGACTCAATGTACCGAGATCATTTTATCAGATGAAAAATCTTCAGCTTCTTTCGTTTCATAATTCGAGCCTCAAGCAGGGCCGGAATATAGGAAGAGTGCCCTTCAATTTACATGACCTCAAAATTGTTTGGAAGGACTAATCTGTGAGAAACATCACCACACAATCATCCATTTTGTATGATTCAACTATCTACAATTCTTCATAGGAAATACAGCAATGGCTGTTCTTCTCTGCAAACATACTTTTGAGAATCTGCCTCCACATCCCCATCTTCGGAAGAAAACCTTGTCGTATCATCTGCTTCAAAACCCATTCCACATCCTGCACCAGATTTTCTTTGCACAGCCCATGAATCAACGCCTTGTACGACACAAAACTCGGACCAACGCCCTTTGAAATCATCCAACTCATAAACCCTTTGGCCTCAAGAAACCTCTGTGCATCGAGGAAACAATACAAAACCTCCTGATAAGACCCTGGATTCGGATCACACCCCTTAAACTTCATTTCCTCCAACAGCTTAATCCCCTCGTCGAATCTCCCTCGCTTCCTAAGCCCCGCTATCAATATATTAAACGTGATGGTATCCGGGTCGATACCCTCATCTTCCATCCTCTTCAACAACCCGAAAGCCTCATCCACCTTCCCATTGACGCACAAACCATGCATAAGCGTCGAAAAGGTCAGCGCGTTCGGCTCACACCTCTGCTTAGGAAATTCGTCGAGCACCTGGAGTGCACCATCCAATTTCCCGAACTCACACAACCCTTTGATGATTATATTCAATGAACACGCATCAATCTCAATGCCCAACCTGGGAGCCTCCAGGAACACCTCATGAACCACTTCGAACATCTTCGTCGAAACGAGCAAATGCAGCACGAAATTGAACGTCTTCACAGAAGGCCAGCAGCCATATCTGGGCATATCGTAAAGGGTGTCAATCGCCCTGTTTATAAAACCACCCACATTGCCGTAAGCCTTGATAACGGACCGGAAAAAGTCGTCGGACAATCGGCATTTGCTTTCGCCTTTGATTCGGGCCATGACGGAATCAATGGCATCGAAGAGGCGGGCCTCGGCGAGCTTGGCGATGATCAAAGTGTAGAGAGCTTCATTGGGTTTGTAGTCCTTGCGTTTGGAGTAGTGATCGAGTGCCGTGAGGATTGAATTGGGGTCTCTGACGGAGGTGAAGACTTGCAGGACTTCGTTGGGGGATAACCAGTCTTTGTGGTGCAGCTTTTTGGGGATTTCGGGTGGGGAAGATGATGGGTGTGTGGAGAAATTTGATGGGTTTCTGATGATGAAGGTGCAGGATTGAGTTGATTGGAAAAAGATTGGCTTTTTGAAAAGTGCTTTTGTAGAACGTGGAATCATGCTGACTGCTCAGGTGTGGAATGCTAATGAGGTTTGTGGGGAGTTCATACTGGGGTTTTGGAGGTTGTCTGAGGTTGGAGGACATAACATGGAGGATTTAACTACGCTATCCAAACACAGCATCTCAAACTTAATGCCACTAGGTCACATGTTTTAAGTTTATTTGGTCTTATAATTGGCTTGAGACCCCATCACCTTGGTATCTCCTTTTACTAAGTAATTAGTTACCCAACCACGATGGACGGTGAACCCTACTAACCTAAGGGTTTAAGGGCGCATTTTATGTGATTTCATAATAAGTGAATAGACCAAAACTACCATAATCTCAACTAGTTAAGACTTTATGTAAACAACCAATCACTTTAATGCTCTACTTAGTTATAAATCCATGTTACTAGGCTCAGCCCGCCACTTTCCTTTTATCAACTCTTAATTCTTTAACACTCCCATGTTTTAAGCTATTATATTCAGTGATTTAGAAGATCAACAACAAAATTAAATAGAGGTGCTGAAAAGTGAGAAGAAAAAAAATCAGTTTCCTAGACTTTAAGCAAGAAACTTTTTACTGACCACCCACTCTTCATGGGAATAAATTCATATTGAAAATGTCACATCATCAATTAACTTTAAGTATGACAATCGGGGTTAACGAGTCACCAATTAACGGACATGGATCATTTTCGGATCCATGCATCATAATCCTAGGGATCCATTAATCCGAGCCATTGAAATTTGATCAAATGGCTAAAGTTATCATAACTTTTAAAGTGGGTCTCTGTTTGTAGCCGTTGGATCAAATTTCAATGGCCCGGATTGGTGGATCCTTAGGATTAGGATGCATGGATCTGGAGAGGATCCATGTCCTCAATTAACTTCAAGTCTGACAATCTGATTAACGAGTCATCAATTAACTTCTGATTTGACAATCTGGTTAACAATGTGTAGGGTTTTCGCAAGTTTGTGAAAGAATTTGTAGGGTCCTCAAGATTGGTACCAATTTGAAATCTTATATATAAGGTCAACACAAAAGGTGAATAGTACTTTTGGTGTCACCAAGCTTCAACAAAAAGATTTGGATAAAAATGCCCCCAAGACAAAAAACTTGAAAGGCATGCCAAAATAATACATCAAATAAGGTAGGGGTATTTTCGTCATTTTAACAATGCTTTTTTTAATAATTAATTTTTTTAATTAGTACCTTACAATAGGCTAGCAATAATGTGATTCAATTTCTCTATTTTTAAACATGTTCAAAACATCTTAAGAGGTGTGTAATGCCGGTTATAAAAATGTATTTCGCACGTGAATAATAATGTGATTAAATTAGTAGTCAAACGATTGTTTTTTTAACAAACTATATTATCTACACTAAGGGAGAAGGGGATGGGCTTAGCCTCACAATGGGCTAGCAATAATGTGATTCAATCAATTGTTTATGAAATATTATTTTCTCTATTTTTAAATACGTTCAAAACATTTTAAAAGACATATAATGCCAGTTATAAAAAAGTCTTTCACACGCGGATAATAATATGATTAAATTAGTTGTCAAATGATTGTTTTTTTAAACAAATGATATTATCTACACTAAGGAGGAGGAGGGTTGGCTTAACCTCACAATGGGCTAGCAATAATGTGATTCAAACAATTGCTTATTAAATATTATTTCCTCTATTCTTATGTAAATTCTATAGAGACCGATTTCATTATGTGAATTTAGATGCTTTAATTAGTTTATGAGGGGTCTTCTAGCATGATGTAAGATTATTCATTTACTTCAAATATTTACCTTTCTTTTTGTCAATTTATGCATATAAATACATTTAAAACGTGTAAGTCGCGTATAGTACGCTGTGATTCAAAAAATACCTTTTACATGCGTGTGAGCGCGTGCATGAAGGTTAGTGCACCCTAATGCTTGGGGAGGGTTTATACTTTTTATGTACTAAAACCCTATCAAGTTACAACCATGCTAGAGAAGATTTGAATCATTTGAGGCAAAACTAGAACACTCCCTTCTTTTCTGAATTTGTCACCAAGAATTTTATTGATCCATTATAATTTACAAAAGGTTCTATATCGACTATATTATCTTTCCTTTTCTTTAACAAATGAAACTATTTTATGCCAGTGTGACCACATTTCCAAAACCTATAAGATTTGACAATATAATATGACTGCATACAATATATACTATGAATGATTAGGGCTAGCTTCTAAAATCATCTGTTCTTCTTCTTCCCTGCAAGAATTGGTTGGATCTGTAAGTGCCTGTTGAACGCCTCGTTGAACAGGAAACGAGTCTGGAATGCTGATATAATCGGAAGCCATGAAAAGACCGCGATAGGTGCAAAGAGAGCAACACCCATTCCGTAATCATAAGTCTTAGCGAGTACTCTGGTGAATTCCCAGAATCCAGTATTCTCTATCAGGGGCCTCACAGCTTGTGCAAACTGAACCAACAAAGTTATCAGCGGAAAAGAAATAATGCAGACCGAAAAGAAAAGCATCTGTATCATCGTAAACTTACCAATATCAAACCCCAGCCTGTCGGAAAAAATGCTAGACAGCAGACGACTAAGTCCTTCCAGGAGAGTTTGCATATAAAATAGAGAGCAAGTATGACAGCAAGAACACCCAAGAAGAGGAATGCCTTGAACAGCCTAAACACGAGGTGATATTTAGCGCTGAACTGTTTCCTTCCGAGATTCACTGCCTGCGAAGAATGATGATGTGATCGTGTTAGTGACTCATGCAAAAAGCTACATAAGGGAACCGACGATCTATTTTCTACGTAACCTATGACCAATTTGAAGAAAGCACTCGATATTATACACACATGTTCATTGCTACTACATTAGGTCAGAAAATTTCTGAAATTAATTGGTCACAAAAAGAATGAAGGCAAGTGGATAAGTTGAGTAAATGTCAAACAAAAAGACATTCCGAAATCCAGATTTCTCAAACAAAAAGAAAAGAGAAGGGACGAGAAAGATTATTTTCTTTGTTGTTGCATCTTAAATATAAGCATAGTTTCTAATAGAAGGAGATTATAAGGTTTACCTTGACTAACAAGAAAACTGCGAGGATCACAATCCATGAAAGCAAATATACCAGAAAATTCCTGCTATTCTGGGAGATGTCAAGGTGGTAGACAAGACCATACTGATACAGGAAAAATCGAACGGAAAGGAGTATTTCAAGCAACCTAGAAGTCGTCCCTGAACGGCGAAGATGATCTTGCTCATCCATCCACCAAGACTGCCAACTTTTATCTTGTTGAACTCCAATACCA